ATCGAGCCCACAGCCCGGGCCTGTGCCCTGACCGGGAATCGAACCCTGAACTCCTGGTTCATGGGTGGGCTCAACCGCTGAGCCACGCCGGCCGGGCTCCTTCTGTCCCTCATCTGGTTCCTTGCCAGGCCCGTTGTAAGAGCATCGGCCTGTATTTTTTAGGTCTGTCTTGCTGCTCAGGGTGGCGACAGAAAGCCAGGCCTGTGCCCACCGTGGTCTCCCACGCCCAGCTGCCCGTAGAGAAGGTCCTTAGGAAGAGCGGCTTTCCAGTGAAACCGTAGGTGGTTCAACTAACTCAGCCGACCGGGCTGCCTCTCTGGCTGAGAGCTCTAGGGGTCCAAAGAGCCGGGAGAAGGGACTGACTTGGGGAACCGCTAACCCATTCCAGGTGTCGATAGGATCCTGTCACCCCCCCCGGGTCCCTCCCGTTGTCCACGAGGACTCCTGTTGTTCCCCCTGGGCCGTGGCCCCTCGGTGCTGCTGTTCACAGGTCCCGGAGCTGTTTTCCTGCTGTGGGGGGACCCCAGACGGTGCAACTGCACATTGTTCTCTGTCTGTTCCAGCACTCGGGGATTAATAGTTCCAATGCAGAAGTGCTGGCTCTGTTCAATGTGACTGAGGCCGATGCTGGCGAGTATGTATGTAAGGTCTCCAATTATATAGGGCAGGCCAACCAGTCCGCCTGGCTCACTGTCCTGCCCAAGCAGCAAGGTAACAACACTTCTGTTTTTTGTTTTTTGTTTTTTTTTTAAGAAGGCTGGATGTAGAAGCTGGAAAGACTTGGTGCTTTGGGAGACTGCAGGCAGCTTGTAGGATAATTCTGTGGCCTCGGTATACTCATAACAATCTCTCTTTGGTGGTGCGGCTGGTGTGATGCCAGCAGCCATGGAAAAATGCCCACAGTGTTCAAGGCGCTTGCTCCAGGTCCTCCCGAGGGCTGCCCTCCACCCACCCAGCGTCTCAGTCATTCCCCTGGGTCACCTTGTCTGGGCTGCACGGTTCCCATCATCAAACACCGTTGTGGACACACAGCCGCCTGCCTGTTGAGTCCGTGGCACTGCGGATCCGCAGAACTCGCCTCCTTCGGCCCCCAAATTTTAGAGAAATATTGGCACGGTGTTAGTTGTTTCCTTGGTGGTGTAACTGATGCTCGTGAGGTGCTGCCTTTGACCTTGATGCCCTTGACCCCTCTGTCCCTGATTTGGGGGAGTCCACGTAGTGAATGTACTGCTGGGAGCTACCGAAGGCAGCAGGTTGACTTCCTTCGCGAGCCTGACTCCCATTCAGATGCTCCCGCTGAACGTGGGAGGAAACGGCCCCCTTCCTTCGCTGCCGAGACCCGGCTTGCTCTGCGCAGCGTCAGGGCGGTTACCCAGGGTGCCCGTAACCGGAGCCTGGTAACCAGGGCCCTCCCCCCGCTGGGCTCCCACGGGGCCAGGAGGATGTGCGAGGCGTCCCCTCGGACGGACCTGCGGTGTTTTGTTTTTCAACATGATCATCGAGACCGAACCATCCTTTCTCAGGGTGGTGGGGGTCTGCAGCCAACAGAAACAGAACCCAACTTGGACTTTTGGGTGCTCTCCTTTCAGAACGCCCCCCTAAATCTAAAGCAAAGCAAAAAGCAAAGCAGTGGCCACGCGGTGGCTTCCTGTGGGCCGATTTTTCCATGTGTTTGGCTGCATGCACGTCTAGGTGGTGACGCTGTGTGGTGACGGGCCTGCGGAGGTGAGCTGCTCGTGTCCGTGTCTCTCGGTTGCGGGCTTTGTGGATGGGCTGCAGCCGGAATCTGCCGCGGCCGGAGCCCCCGGCACCGCTCCGTGGTTCCACGGCCCCTCCACGACCGCTCCTGTCGTCTAGCCTCTTCTCTTGCTTCCCTTGTTTTCTAGGCGGCCGGTGTTAACACCACGGACAAGGACATTGAGGTTCTGTATATTCGGAATGTAACTTTTGAGGATGCTGGGGAGTATACGTGCTTGGCGGGTAACTCTATTGGGATATCCTTTCACTCTGCATGGTTGACCGTTCTGCCAGGTACATACCGCTCTTTCTCTCCACGGTTTCCCCCTTTTCTGGGTTGTGTGCTATGAAATCAACACAGCTTCTGTCCTCGGAAATGGCCACTTTTATCTTGGCGTAAAGATTTGTACGAAATGTGTGAAATCGTGCCCCGGGGATGACAATGCTGCCCGGGAAACTCGCTCACAACGAGATCCCACACTCACGCCTACGGCCACGTGAAATGTCGCCCCGAAACCCCAGGGGAGCTTACGTCTCCGGCGACTCACCGAGTCCATGTGTAAATTCGCCCGTCCCCCATGTCTCCTAAGAAGTGGAAATTACTTTGTAAAATGCAAAGTAATTTTTTTTCTCATTTCAAATTCCATTTTGCTGAGCCCCTCTACGTACTTTTACCCCACTTTATATTTTTAATGAGACATAAGTAGACGGGCGGGTGTCGGGGTGCCTGGGAGAGGCCCCCCGTGTGGGGGGTGCACAGAAGCAGTGTGGTACCCGCCTCGGGAGTCGGTGGCTTGCTGCACGTGGCGATGGAGGGGCCTGCCGCTTGCCTCCCTGCACAGCATGCTCTTGCCTTCTTGGGCCTGATGTTATTTCCGCCCCACGGAGAAATCAACATCAGCGCAGCCCTGGTGCCTCGATACTGCTGCTGTCTGAGTCTTTAACTGATGCCTCTCCTGGTCAAACGTCCTTCGGGATCGCTGTCCGCTCTGACGCTCCTCCTCTGTCATTTCTGTTGTGAATGCGTAGACTGTGGTCTGCTAGCGCCTTACGTTCCACTCGGTTATTTATGCCTTATTTTTAGACTACGGTGCCTACCTGCATGCTTATTTTATATCTAGTAAAAGTTAATTGATCGTTTCATTTTGCGCTGTGCTGCTGAGAGTTTTGACTTGTCTTGCGAGCAATTTTCTGATTAAAACGTGTAAGCTTTAAATAATACCATTGCATTCATCTTCCCTTTCATCGTGAACCTGCTCTGTGAGCATTGGCTATGAAACAGTGAGATGCCTCTTACGTGGAGCTTGCTTTTACTTGCCGCCTGCGTCCCGCAGGTGCCCGGTTGGCACTCCTTAACCAGTTTGCCTGGCAGCACTCGCACATTAACCGAGAAAGCAGTTTGAGAGAAGTGCTGTTTGGAGGTGCACTGCTTGCCGATGGACCGTCGAGGCCTAAGGAGGGAGCACCCGTTACTGGAAGTTCACATAAGAACGTGCTCACTTCAGTAATTGCACTTACGCGCAACACCGTTTCTATTTTTTCCTTAAAAGTCTAGTGATGTATCAGTATGACCAGATACACACAAATTGTAACAGTTATTAAGGAATGTTACAGACTGTTTATGGTCCGAACATAATGAGGCTACATTATAAGCAAGTCTGTCTTCATATTAAATGCATTCGTTTGTTCAGTTAAATGCTGGGCTATGTTAAGGAATTTGACACTTTTTTCGGGCCAGCCTGCGGGATGAGTCTTTATTCCATTTCATATGGAGCTGGGCTCCTCTGGGGCGAATCGCTCTGCCTCATCTTTTACCCAGTAAGACGGAGGCATTGTCCCGTCAGAAACACAGTGGGCATTGTCTGTATTTAAGGATGTGGTTTGCATCAGAGACCACCATGGAGCACAGTCCTCTCGCTGTGGGTCCTGCTGGCCGTCCCGCTCCTCCCAAATGTGCATGGTCTCATTGCCTAATCTGCCCTCTGTGGCTGTTGGCAGCCGATCCACTATCCCTGGATTGCAGAGGCCCCCCGGAACCATAGGCCATAGGTAGTGACCGCCTGGGCCCTGGTGGTGAAGCAAGGAGCCCTTGGTTGTCCACCTTCACTTCAGGGAGGGACATGGCAGGCCCTCGGCCTGTGCTGCGCGGCCGCATTGAGCCATCGGGAAGCCTTGTGAATGCTCCGTTGCCTTTTGAGTCCTGTAGTTATGCCCGGAGGCATCCATCCAGGGTCCTAACTCTGTGGCCTGCTTGTCTGTCCCTCCTCGTGACCTACCATCCAGCACCCGTCCGAGAAAAGGAGATCTCCGCCTCCCCAGACTACCTGGAGATAGCCATCTACTGCATCGGGGTGTTCCTGATCGCCTGCATGGTGGTGACGGTCATCGTGTGCCGCATGAAGACCACGACCAAGAAGCCCGACTTCAGCAGCCAGCCGGCCGTGCACAAGCTCACCAAGCGCATCCCCCTGCGGAGACAGGTAACAGAAAGTAGATAAAGAGTTTGAAGACGTTTACTCCTCCCGTGCCCCAGCCAGCTCCTGGGTCCTGCCCGCCGCTTCCATGCCCCTGTTTCTGTGGGCCTCGTGGGTCTAGCGTGCTTTCTTGGGCTTTTCGATTAGCGTTGGGAGCTTGGAGAGTCAGGCGCTGGAGCGTCAGTGGGGTCAGTCGGGTTTCCAGGGCAGGAGAGCTAATCGGCAAGACTGGAAGGAACACGGGGAGGCAGGCCTGTGTGTTTGATGAGCCTTTTTGACGCACTGGCCACTTCTGTCCCCTGTGATCTAATGCTTTTTTCTTCTTCTTGGAGATGGGCTTTTCCTCTAGTTGGAGAGACTGTAGTTCCCCTGGACTTATTTTTTTAAGTCCAGGTCAGAAACCTGTGTCCCAAGGTGTACCTGGGCATCTACTTGATTTAAACCGGCCTGTAATGTCTGTCCAAACTGAGTTTAGGCTCCACTGCTCTGATTCTTACAGCAGAATCGTGTGCACGTATTATGTTATTGTTCGTGGTTCACGCATGTGGCTGTCGATTTGGGACTGGAGTGATTTCTATACTGAATGGGCAACAGGCTGTTGCTGACCTCGTGCCTGGGCCTTGGTGGTTCCCTCTTGCCCGTAGGTGCCTCCTGATGGGTTTAATTTTGCTTTGGGGAGATGGAGGAGGATAGAGCCGGGCCTCTGCCTTTAGAGCTGAGTGGGGCTGGAACCAGTGGTCTGTCCTGGGGGGGTGGGGCAGACATGGATGCAAAGTGTTTACCGAACTATTTGGGACTTGGTTCCAGGAACGGTATTGTTGTTTTGAAACAGCGAAGTAACATGGCGAATGCTCTGGCTCTAATTCAGTGTGTATTTTGGTAGAATTTACAAGGCGCTTGTTAACATCGCAGGCTCCTTCGTCTCAGCCCAGAGGTCTTGAACTAGGCCAGGAGCCTGCAGTTGAAGCAGGACCTCGGGTGGTTCTGGAGTGGACGCTGAGGGACCCCGGGCTGACCCCAGCCTGGCCCCTCCCGGGACGGAAGGCGGCCTTGGGGAGGGTGAGGAGCCAGGTGGTCGGCAGCAGTGTGGCTGGGGTCTGGCTGCTCCCAGCCCAGCGCCAAGCGCGGGCTGAATGGGCCCTTGTCTGCTTCCTTGAAGCCACGTTTCAGGCAGGTCATTCTTCGTGGAGGCGGAGCATGGCACTTGGAGAGTGTGTCCCAGCAGGTGAATGCTCAGATTGCATTAAGCAAGGGAAAGAAGGTGTCTACTGGGGACCCCCCTCAAGAATGCTATTGTTATTAAAATGACACCACTATAATTTTTTTTTATAAAGGGTGGAACAGGGGGCGGGGGGCGGAGAAACATCGATCAGTTGTTTCCCACGTGCATCCCTGACGGGATTGAACCCACAACCTGGGTACCGACTGGGAATTGAACCCACGGCCTTCGGGTTCACTGGACAACGCTCTGCCAAGTGAGCCACTCTGGCCAGGACAACCATTCTCATTCCCAAGGCCAGGGAAGCAAAGATGGGGCCCCTTCCCGACTCTGGGAGAGGCCAGGCCCAAGGTGACTAACACGGCCAGTGACCTTCAGGTGGTCTAGCCACCCGTCCCCCCCTCCAGTTACCTCTGGGCCGTTCTCGCAGCCGCCCTCATGAGAACCTGGCCTCGGGAGGAGGAGAAGAGTGGTGTCCCCCCCCCCC